CCCGGGACGCCGGGCAGTGCTCCCGGCCTTCCCCGGGGAGTGACATTTCAGTGATTGAAGTTTCCAGGCGCTGCTGATTCAGCCCTGGGCGGCAGGAGGTTTCTCCTCGCTAAAAGTTTGTGTGCTCTTTCTTACGCTGCTGGCTTCACAAGCTTTCCAGTCCCTAGGGAGAAGGATCTCGATGAGGTCCTGCAGACACACACGGTGTTTGTCAACGTTTCCAAAGGACAGGTGGCGAAGAAGGAAGATCTCGTTCCATCGTTTGGGACAGATGACCAAACAGAAATCTGTGAGATGGTGGGTTTCACACCCTTTACTTTGTAAAACCTTGGAGAAGGCTTTCTGGATGTTTTACCTACGGGTCACGCAGATGCGGTAAGTCAGTTTGTTACAGAAAGGTTTTTGTAGAACGCAGTGGTGCTGTAGGCCAAACGGCTGTTTATTCGTTAAGTAATGGGCAGAAAGGAGTGGTAACTCTGTCTAGTCTGAAATTTTATATATTCATCTGGCTGAAAACAGCTCTGAGTGTTTATAAGCTCCGTGTATAACGTGCAGCTTCTATGCACTGATGCCTACGGACACAGGGAAAAGGTTAGCCAGCACCAAAGAGTTTCTAGCCTAAAGCATATCACTAAGGATACAGGAAAAGGAAGAGAAGGGTTGCTCTCTTTGGGCAGTTCAATCGATTGTTAAGAACAGATCTAATTTCTTAGTCTTTTGTGGTAGGATATGAACTGTGGACTTGTTGTGAGTGATGAGAATTCAAGTAAATCTGTGCTTCTCTGTTCGTTGGTTAGTGTTTTCGTGGTGGGCTTTTTGTCCGAACTCTTTCCAGTGCTGTCTGCATAGTAATGACAGACATTATTAATATGGTTATTCTTTTTAGGCACCGCACATCAAAGTGTTCAAGCAATTGTTAAATTTAACAAAGTTACTAGAGTTTTCACTCTTTTAGTCAAATCTGTGATGTTTATTAACTGATTTCTTTATTTTTACTGTACAGATTTTGTCTGAAGGGGAGCTCCAGGTATCAGACAAAGAACAACACACACAGCTGGAGCAGATGTTTAGAGACATCATGACTATTGTGGCTGACAAATTTGTGAATCCTGAAACAAAAAAGCCATACTTATAAAATCCTTATAGAAGGAGCCATGAAGGACATTCACTACTCTGTCAAACCACACAAGAGCACGAAGCAGCAGGTTAGTTTTCTTGCAAAATCAGCTTCTGCTCAGAAATGTTCTCTTCGGGCGTCATTTCTCCGTGAGCAGCCACAGAGGGATGAGCCAAGCCCTGCGCTCCAAAGCTCACGGAGTGATTCCTCAGCTGCCTGGCAGTTGGATGCTGGATACGGGCAGCTTCCGAAACTCGTGCAGCTTATTGTCTAACAATTCAGGGAAGGGAGAAAGAAACAAACTAGTTAAAGTAGCTGCAGTGATATGCCTGGAACAGAAATAAAAGTTGTATCATTTATTTTGAGCGAGTGAATCAGGCTTTGCATCTGAGCCGCATGGGTTTCTGTTGTTCTGCAGTGTAACTGCTATTGAACATGGTTTCAGACGGGTTTTTTGAGTATTTGCAGTGATGACGAACAGCAAGAACTCTGCCTTTTCTTGTTAATCTATCAAAACAGCGTAATAGCAAGCGCTCTGCAGCAGAGTGGCAGTGACCAGTGCTGAGAAATGCATCAGAAGCCAATGCAAAGGACTTGAGGTTTTGATCTGTGGTGTTTTTAAGCAGGTGTGTAATTGCTCTTCCCTCTTAATGTCTCTACAGGCCCTGGAAGTGATCAGACAGTTATTGGAGACCATGCAAATTGAACGTGCTCACATGAGGCTGCAATTTATTCTTCCAGCAAAGGAGGGGAAGAAACTGAAAGAGAAGCTCAAGCCACTGATAAAGTTGTTGAAAATGAGGACTTCCACGAACAGCTGGAAATTGTAAGCAGTAAAGCAACCCTTGGGTTTCAAACTTGATTTGACTCTACCTGTAAGTTTTACTCGAAGATGAATTAATATATGGAAGTTGTTTAGATAAACTGCAAGTCCGTCAGAGGTGTAGTTTGTAGGGTTTAATTTCACACAGTCCTAGTGGTGTAAGCTTGAAAGTAGCCTTTATTATACAGAAATTGCTGCTTCAAGCTGAGGAGAAGCGCAGTGTAATTTCTCTTAGCAGTGATGATCCTACAACATTTATAAGTTTCTCTGCATATATGGAACATTACTCATTTATTTGGTGGGTCAGGCCTATATTTTGATAGTGGTTAATTATTTTTTTAAATAATAGACTGTGGTAAAGCAAAACTTGTTATTAGTAAGAGTCTTTCTGATAACAGATGCAGATCTAGCAATTCCAGCTCTCAAAAGACATGTCCAGCATGGATAAATGGAACTGCAGAACTTCTGTGGAAAGATTACTTGATAGAAATCACTTACCAACTCTGCAAAATCCTCCTTAGTGACTAAACAATTTTTTTTTTTTAATGGAAATTGATGTTAGACCTTTAAAGAGGCTGATGAAAATTAAATAGTATTGCTTGACTGCTGAAGTATGTAACATTTCAGGTGGGCCTTATTGTCCCCGGCTGCTTCAGAGAGATTGATGAGCTGATCCGGGGTGAGACACAAGGGAAAGGAACGCTGGAAGTGCTTGGTCTGAAAGACGTGGAGGAGGGAGGTGAAAAGCTTGAATAAAGCAAATGTCCCTGCAGCAGTTTTGCTTTGACAAACATCCCATGAAACGACTATTGCTAGCTACTCTTCTGTTGGGCCTGCTTATTTTTCTGAAGGTGCATATCTGGGCAGTGATGGACTCGTCTTGGCATTTGAAATAA